CTCCGGCTGTGACGAGTTTCTTTCCGTTGGGTGTGTATGCGAGATAGGTTGCGCCAGGGGCATCTAGGGTAAAAATTAGGATGATAACTCTGAGGCATGATCGCGGTTTACTTACGGGCTTGTCGAGCGCGGAGGCGCTGTGTGGTAGCCATTGTGATATGTTGTGATGGTTGCTACTCGGGAGTGCACCGCGTCCCGGTCGACGCGACCGCGTAAAGTGGGTTAGGCTAGCGCGCTTTCAAGACGCATCCCCGCCGCCCTCATCAATACTACCGTCAACAACATCCACCATCGTGGACTGTCCTCCTCTTGCAGTGATGCGGCTGACTACGTTTTCTCCGTTATATCTCATCACAAAACTGGATCAGAGCTCTGCTCGCTCCAGCACGGGGATAGCATTTCGTAACCCCACAATGCACAACAACGACCGTACCTCATACAAGAACAAAACCAAACAGACCTGGAGCCTACATTAACGCTAGGTCACCTACTTTGCATGTTTTTATGTTGATGTAGGCTATGGGCCGTGAGCAGACTATGATTGAAATGGGACGCGATAGACAGATACCATACCCATGAAATGAAACATTTCCATAATCGTGTACACTATGTATAAAATCATCATGACAAACGCCACGCTATGCACCCAAGCCCAGTACCGCCCAAATCAGCGCCAATCATGCATCCACTTTTACTCCTCCCCTAAGTGTCCCTGGGAAATTCATCTTCCAACCCAATCGTCACCTTGACATTCATACTGCCCAGCTCCTGGATAAGAAGCTTCGCAGCGTACGGCATAGTAATCTTGCGAACCGCCTTTTCGCTCTCACAGAGCTTGCAGTAGCCGCTGTAACCCATTTGACCACCTATCATCATCATTAGTAAAGATCTCAAAAAAGAACCGAGAAGTGAAGGGAAGAGAGAGAACTTACACTTCTCACAAACATCAACATTATGCGCATCGGAACTAATCATCAGCCGCTCAAGCAGCAACTGACTAGCGCCATACGCAATCAGACAATCACGTTCCATCTCACCCAGACGCAATCCACCGTCCCTCGCCCTACCCTCCGTAGGCTGCCTCGTGAGGATAGCGCGCGGACCTCTCGCACGTGAATGCATCTTGTCCTGCACCATGTGCTTGAGTTTCTGGTAGTAGATCGGGCCAAAGAAGGTGTAGAACTGATGAGCTTCTCCTGTGATGCCGCTTGTCAGGTAGTCTTTTCCTGTGTAGGAGAAGCCTTTTTCGACGAGGATTTGCGACATGTCTTCGACGGTGGAGCCGCCGAATGCTGTACCGTATTCTAGTGTGCCGTTTAGAACACCGGCTTTGCCTGAGAGGAGTTCCATCATCTTGCCGACTGTCATACGCGAGGGGAATCCGTGGGGGTTCATGATGATGTCGGGGCAGATACCTTGGTCGTTGAAAGGCATGTCTTCTTGTTGTACGATGAGACCCGTTGTTCCTTTCTGACCGTGGCGAGAGGAGAACTTGTCGCCGAGTTCGGGACGTCGGGTCTGGCGCATGAGAAGTTTGATCAATGTCGTTCCGGCTTCATTCTCGGTGATGCAAGCTTTGTCAATATAGCTGCAGTCGGGCATCTTGTACTTGTCGGGCTTGTCTTTGTAAACATTTGTTGCGGGCCCGGCGGTGTCTTGGGGAATGGATTTCAGAAGGTAGGCGTCGCCTGCTTCTATGCGCGCACCAACTTGGGCGATACCGTCTTGTCCGATGGCTTGATGGCTGGTGTTATCCACATCGAGAGCGCCGGCATTGATACGGTCAGAGGTGCCGTTGGCATAGGTCTTCAGCGGTGTGACATGCTTCTTCAAAACCTGGCAGCGACCGAAGCCACGGTCGCAGGAGGCCTTGTTCAGGATGAGCGCGTCCTCAATATCGTACCCGGAGTAGGACATGACAGCGACGGTTGCATTTTGTCCGGCAGGCAGCTTGTCGTATTTGGTGAGCTCAATGGTGCGGGTCTTGACCATGGGCTGCTGTGGATAGACCATCAAGTATAGCAGCGTGTCTATCCTCTTGAACTGGTTGTAGGCGATCGCGCCAATAGCTTGCTTACCCATAGCGCATTGGTAAGTGTTACGAGGCGACTGGTTGTGATGTGGGTATGGGATGAGACCAGCAACGGCGCCCAGTATGGTGAAGGGCTCGATTTCGAGATGTGTAGTGTATTGGTTGATTTCGCTCTCCTTCAAAGCAATGTTCGTGTCGTTCTCTTCGTTGGTATCGAGGTACTCCACCAGACCTCTTGTCAGGAAGTCCTCAAACTCCATGGTGCCCTTGCGAAGCGCCTTGAGGTAGCGCGAGGTAACCTTGGACCGTTGGTTTTCGACAATGATCATCGGCCGGCAGATTCGACCTTCATCCGTGGCAATGTGAACTTCGCAGTGGTCGTGATCGATGTGAATACTAGTGAACTCGGAGATACGTCCCATTCTCCTAAGTTTCCGGAAGCTGTTGAGGAATCGTTTAGGTGTGTCGGTGACCGCGATAGGTGTACCGTTGAGACACACACTATATACACCGTCTGCGTGGATCTCCTCTCCAGTCTGGAAACAAATATCTTCGGCTCCCAACATGAACACGATCTTACGCACTGGATCGTCGTCATCTTCGGTTGTGATATGCGTCATGAGCGCCAAGTTCTTGACCAAACCACAGGCTTCTCCTTCGGGTGTATCGGAAGTGCACAGCATGCCAAATTGCGAGGGTTGTAGCGCACGGGGACCAGAGACCTTACGCGTCTTTTCGAACTGCGAACTGATTCTCGTCATCATACCTAGCGCAGCAATGTAACTCAGTCTGCTCAAGACGTGAGTAACACCGGCTCTCTCCATCTTGAAGCGCTTCAAACTCCAGTTTCCAGTCGCAATGGCGCGCTCGACACCCATAGTGATGTGATTCTTGTGCACGCTGAAGTGTGAGAAGGCGTCAAATTCTTGCGCTCGGACGGGTTTCTTCAGTACTTTGTCGATGCTCAACTTGAAGTCGTGGTTGAAGCGCTTGAAGTGATCTTCGAACAAGAGTGACAACATCTGTCCAGACAACTCGAGACGCTTGTTTCCGACATAGTCGCGATCGTCCACAAGCTTCGGGTCTTGCATCGCCATTAGAACTCGACGTGCCATGAGAGCTACGTACAGTGCCTTTGGTCGGTAGTTCGTGCCTTCGACTGGGACGTGGGGAAGGACAACGTTGGATAAACACTCGATAGCCTCTAAGTGATAGTTTCGACTGCGCGAGGTACCGAGCGGCTTCTTTACTAGTCGTACGCGATGACCGATATACTCAAGTGCTCGCTCCTGAGTGTGTATGCCTTCCTTTGCGCACGCCTCGAAATTGGCTGCGAAGTTGTCTTGATACGCGGTATCCTCGCCGGCGATCAAGAGTATGATCTCCTTGTCGGAATGTACACCCAGTGCCTTCATTACGAATACGATCGGGATCTCTTCGGAGAGCGTGTTGTGGCGGAGGTACATGAGGCCTTTCTTCTGTATAACGTACGTCTTCGTTCGCCTCTCGTGCGTAGAACTGGTAACGCTGGCTTGCATGATGCCCTTGGCACTCTCAACAATGACACGGTTCTTGTTCAGCTGCTCTTGAACCAGAATAACCTTCTCTTGCCCTCGGGTGATGAAGTAACCTCCTGGGTCTAGCGGACACTCGTCCATGACTGCCATTTCGCGATCGTTCTTTCCTGCAAGCACGCACTTGTTGCTTTTCAGCATTATAGGCATACGTCCAATCTTGATACCCGTCCGCTTGACCTTTGAGTTCCCACGGGTATATATGATGTCCACTACTATCGGCGCCGCGTATGTCATGTCGCGCAATCGGCACTCGTTGGGTGTAATGGTACTGCGGTGGTGGTCGAGGTCATCTTCTTCCTGTCGGTTAGGGGAAAGAACGCGGATGTCGGTGTACTCGAGGAGGAACTTGGGGTCGGTATCGCTGCGGACGAAACGGTTGGCCTTGAGGATTTTCTTGAGTTCCACATCGACGAAGTGGTTGTATGAGTCGACATGCTGCTTGACCAGTCCCTTGGTCTTCAGGAAGGCCGGCAGAAGATTCCACTTATCGCGCGCAGTATTGATCGGATCGGTCAGACTCTTTCCGTAGTAGAAGGGCTCGAGGAGGGCGGCAAACTCGTCTTTGGCGTGGGTAAGCGGCGCTTTTCGTTTTCGTGTCGCCTCTGCTGATGTGGAAGCGTTGGGATTGAGGTCAGTCGCGTCGTCTCCTGCTGTCGTCTGAGCGTTTGCGCCGACAGCGTCTACGTCCATAACATCGTCAGCTTTCTTTACTGCAGGAGCAGCAGTCGCAGCAGTCGCAGCATTCGCCTTCGCGGCCCCGCGCGGGGCTGCTTCGGGCTTCGCGACTTCCTAGAGGCAAATTAGTCCCTGGTCGCGACAATCATGTGAGACCTCATACCTTCTTGCCCACCATTTTGTGCGACAGTAGAGCAGTCGGCGAAGGTTGAGGCGGCGGGTGAGTAGGTTAGTTCGACCGACCAGCTGCAGCAAACATTTGGCGTTCGGCGAGTCAGAAGTGAGAATTAATACTGGCCAATCGGTAATCCGCAGTAGTCAAAGCATCCCTGGGTGAGTGACCAATAATCCAGACACCGAGACTCGCGCGAGCGGAAAAGAGAAGGCGCCTACAGCTTACACGAGCATCACGAAAGTCTCAAGGTAGTTTCCTTTGTTGGTGTAGAAGTGTCTTGGGAGTCTGCTTTGGATCGTCACAGGTAAAGCACAAGTTATCGGCAGACAAAGTTCACGCATTTAGTGATCAGGATTCGGTTGCTACCAATGCTATGCCATTCAACGCCCGCTATGCCACCAGAAAGCTATCTTCCAAGATCCAGATGCAAGCCAAATCGAAACTATCATCTCAAGTCTCCAAGAAACCTCATGCCAAGGAGCCACCAGCCGTAAAATCACCAGTCGTGTTCTGCAAGATCGTCACCCAGCGAACGCCGGTACTAGAAGGCATCGCTGACATCCGCCTCGCCGTTTATGCTTCGTAGTGAACCCTCTGCAAGGTCAACCCTCAGCTGAGCCGTATCCGCCTCGCGTTCAAGACTGTCCCACTCCCTGAGTTTTTGCCTCTTCGCATCTTCCTTCTTATCGATCATCTCTCTCAACTTCTGCGCCTCGGCCTCAAGCTTAAGAATCTTGCTCTTGTCGTACAGCTCGGGTGCTCTTTGGCCACCGGGGATTTCCTTGGGAAGGTCGGAGAGATGGTCTCGGAAGCGCATCGTACGGGGGTAAGTTGTAGCAGTAGAGTTGTTAGATCCGCGGAATGAGGGAGCAAAGGGTGCTGCTCCGCTAGGTCCGCTGCTGGAACCACGCGGACCGGATGGCGCACCGCCGTAGTAACCTCCACCTCGCGGACCTGCGCCCCAAGATCCTCGTCGCGAGGAAGGCCCAGAAAAGTCTCCTCGTCCTTCATATCCCCCAAAGCCACCGCGGCCACCACCACGTGGTCGTGTCGGCGCTGCTAAGACAGGATTATTGCCCCGGGGAAAGGAGGGAGCTTGTGGTGTCAAGCTCGAAGGTCCAACAGGAGGGGATATCGCAGGGGAGGGATAGCTCCTGCTGGAAGGTCCCGTTGGTGGAGCTCTGGCAAAGTTGCTGTCGCCGTTGCGGTACGAAGACGACGATGGCCCAGTAGGAGGCGCGAAGTCTCTATCCCCGCGCGGTCCTGTCGGAGGACTGTCGCGTCGACGTGGAGGCGACCGCTCTCGCTCGCGACTGTACTCTCGTCCTCTATCGGGGAGGCGCTCACGGAAAGGCGATCGTGGTGCTGAGGCGGGCTCTCTGACTGGTCGGTCTTCTACGAGGGCGGCCCGGCTAGGATGGATGGGTGGTGGGGAAGAGCGGCGGGACGTCGCTGCAGAATCTCTACCTGACGCATCGTTCGAAGCATATGCTGGCCGCGCTGGCGAAGGAGACCTGCGACTCCTCCATGTATCCGCAGTGTAAGGGTCGGGACGCTCGCGTCTTGGAGAGGGTGAGCGGCGTCGGTAGTCGCGCGTATCACGAGTGTCGCGGGCCGGAGAGTATCTGCGGGGAGGACTTCATATAAGGTCAGCGAATGGCATGGCGCAAGGGGAGACTGAAAGCATACCTATTCACCCGGGAGCGCGGCTCTTCGTAACGGCTCGGACGAACAGGCGAGCGTATACCTCGGCTCCTAGCTGGGGAGACATCGCGCTCTCTCGGTGGTGGAGACCTTTCGCGTGGTCGCGGGGAGCGAGTATACGAGTCGTACTGATCGCGGTCCCGTCGCGGCAGCGGTGACCTTGCCCTGTAGTCATCACGTCTAGGCTCATCTCGTCGCGGCGAGAATGCTCGGCGAGGCGGTGATCGAGGGCGTGCCCTCCAGTTGTCGTCGCGACGTGGGCTCCGGGATCTTCTCCGGAAACCAGGCGATCGACTGCGCGGACGCGATGAACGGCCACCAGGAACATATGTATCTGCCGAAGCTATACCGCGACGAATGGGCGAGGCGCGACGAGGAGGAGGCGAAGCCCGGCGGGGAGGAGGTGAACGGGCTCGGTAGCTGTCTCCGCGAGGAGAGCGTGGGCGAGGGCCAGGAGAACGCGGACGGTATGTGTTGGAGTACCTGTCGTCTCTATTCCGGTGTTAGTAGATGCTCCCGTAGTAGATGCCGCATGCCTGGGAACATGTTTGCGCATCGGAGCCTAGGCGGCCCTTGGTCTGGAGTCGACAAACCTTCGGTCTCCTCGATCTCGCTCACGATCCCTGTCCATTTCTGCGGCGAGTGTGGTGTGCTGTGCCTATCGCAGGTAAACAATACTAAGTGATGTGGTCGTAGCGATTAGTCCAGGTTGATAGCTAACGACTGCGCTTGCTGGGCGGTGGTGGCTAGTCGTGTGTTGGGTCGCAAAAAGAGAAGTTCAGAGCCAAGCCTCCAGCGACTGGACGCGTTCGTAGGTCACGTGCGGGGGAGGCGTGCGAGCACTGGCCGTGGGTCAGTCACATTGCAAACAGCCAACCGTTTGATTCACATTCAACTTGGTCGCCGGATGTGCAATCGGGCAGCCGAGAGAGGGTACTGTATGCGTGTGCGCGGTAGATCCAGATTTCCGTAGGTAGCACCTCAGACAGCATCTGGTGTCTTCCTCCATGCGCTCCTGACATCGCTACATCTTTCCCGTGCCCTTCAAGTGGAAGCCTCAATCTACTCCTCAGTAGCCAAGACATTGCGCGTCTGTTGTCCCAGTCTGATGGCACCACCCCTTGACTCACGTTTTCAGCTATTGTCTTTCACATCCTTTGTCCTGCATGTCGCATCCGTCAAGCCTTTCGTCGACACGAGACGTACCACCCCTCCATAGTCAGCATACAATTCTTCCGTCATTCTTGTCCTTGGAAGTGAGAAATTCTTCATCTTGATTATGTTCAACTGCGGTCAACCTTGGCTGCCGCATGTAACGCCGTATCCCAATGCTGAATGTGCCGAAGCCCTACTGACCATTGACATCCGTGACGCCGGCTCGCTGACAGAGCTCTTGAAAAATGCAATCCGTAATCTTTTGTACAAAACACATGTCCTTTGCGGACTCTTGACCAACAGACCTAGCGCCTGGTCTTTCGCTCGTCCTCCCGCTTCGCGCGCTTCCTGCTCTCCTGGTTGATCATGTCCGCCAAATCATCTTGATCGATACTCTGCCATTGGCCTTGCGCTTCGGCTCTTTGCCTTGACTCATACTCTTTCTTCAGTGCGTCCTTGTCGAGCTTGTCACTATCTGCCAACTGGTCGACATCAACCGACACGTCGATGTCCCCAGCCTTACGCTTCCTTTGTGCGTGTCCAAGTGCGTCGCGCCTAGCCGCATCCAGGTCATAAGCGTGCTCGCCGCCAAAGAAACCAGTCGCCGAGATGTTCTTCTCAGGAAGCACTGTACCGGCGCTGCGTGGTACACCCGGCTCTTCAGTCTCGATTCCTTTCCGCTGCTTCCGGAGCTGGAACTCTCCACCGATGCTCTCTGCTCCTCCGATCTCGGATGGCATGGCAGATGCTGTTGTCATCGATGTCTGGATGCCGCTCGCGTCTTCGTCGCCTCCCTCCTCGTCATCTTCGTCTTCCTCCTCTTCTTCGTCGCTCTCCTCGTCTTCACTTTCACCCTCAGCTCGTAGTGCTCCCCAGATACCACGCTCTACAGGCTCGCCGACATGAGTAGGCTGTTGTTGCTCTTCCAGTATGGCTGTTCCATACAAATCGCCTCCAAATTGTGGCTTGCCAGCGTCGTCGATTGGGGGTTTACCCCACTGGCCAGGCTGGAAGCCCCAGGAGGAACCAGGAGGGATCGGAGCGTTTACACCAGGGACGCGCATGTTCGGGTAGGATGGGGGAGGGCCGAAGCGCTGCATGTTGATGAGCCACGGGGGTGGATGGCCTGGCATCATTCCGAGAGCCTCGCGGAGTTCCTCGCTCAGCTCGCCGGGCTTGAGGTTCACGAGGTTGGTCTCGAACTCCTTGCCCTCGTAATAGACCTCGCCATACCGCGTCAACTCCGGTTTCGTTTGTCGCCTGAAGAAGGCATCGTATAGTTTTGCGTAGTCGATATCAAGCTTGCCGAGCTTTCCTTGGACGCGCTCTCGCTGCTTCTGCCTCATCGTCATGTCTGCTTGCTTTTCCAAAACTGCATCACGCATCTCTGCGATACCAGTCTCCTGGATGAACTTTGGTAGGGCGAACGGAGGTTTCTCGATACCGCGTTTGGATGAGAGGTACTCGCGCTTGAGCGACCAGTGGGTCGGGACGGGAATGACGTTCTTCGCTCCCTTGATGGAGATGAGCAGCTGAGGATTTGAGGATGACACATCCGTCCACTCGACCAACTCAGGCCGGGGGACCAGTGACTTCAGTTGCGCGACCGACAACTTGTTCATCTGCTTCCGCTGCTTCTTGGAGAGCTTGGGCTTGCCATCGTCCTCGTCCTCGGAGGGGATGTCGTCGTCGGAGAGATAAATTTCCGGCTTCTCCTCGTCTTTGGTCGCCGCTTCCTCCTCGGTCGGCTCCCTGAACTTCTCGAAGACGCTCTTGTATTCCTCAAACACGGGGTCGTCGAGGTCGTACTGGTTCGCGATATCGTCAACGGTGAGAAGGTTCGCGGGCTTGACCGCCTGTGCTTCGTTATTGCTGTCGCTTTCGGGTGCGGGAGATTCGCTCTCACGCGCAGAGTCAGCGGCCTCTGACGGTGTCTCCTGTATGACTATCAGTATGATGTATTGCGACGCGCGTGGTTTACTTACAGAGCGCTGTTGCTTCTTCTTCGCCCGGCGATAGGCGTTTTTGTTCACCTGCTTCTTGCCCTTTGCGACTGCGCCTGACATGGCGGCGGTGATTGCGCGGCGCGACACTGGAACTCGTGATGTTTGATGATATGCGTTGCCCGGTCCGTGTATACAATCGCGCGATGTGGGTGGGTGCAAAGGGTGATGCGCGACAGGTCGAAGTCGAGGTGGAAGTTGCTGAGCTCGCGCCGAAAGATTGAGAGCCTGCCTTGGCGCTAACGGGGTCGCCCCAACCCCAGCCCTAGCAGTTAGTTGTATTCACCCACGCCGGAACTTCAGAGGCAATTTTCAAACAATATCAAACAAGCCCAAAATATTTGTGTTGACAAGACATGCATAGTTCTTTAGTCTTGGTCTGCTACATTAGACATGACCCACGTGCTGCTTCACACAGCTGCTACACTACGACCGATCATTGTCCTTGAAGATGTGGTTCCAGAATCCGCGGAAATGCTTCTTCTGCCCAATCTCATTCATATCCTTGATCTCCTTAGGCGTCAGCTTGAACGTGTTCGCCCTCAAGTAATCGCTCAGCCTCTGCTCCTTTCCACTTGTCGTAATCGGCACAATATCCTGGTCCATGCACCACCTAAGGTAGATCTCGTTCTCGCCCACAGCATACTTCTTCGTCAGTGCTCCCACGTAGTCATCCAGAGGACCGGGCTTGGCTTTGGTGGCAGGGGTGAGAGGCGCATATGCGACGGTGGCGATGTTGTTCTGCTTGTGGACTTCAAGGAGTTCTGGCCTTTGCAGGTAGGGGTGGAGCTCGATCTGGTTGCATACTGGCTTGACTTTCGCGGTCTTCAGGGTGGCGGCGAGATGGTTAGGGAGATAGTTGGAGACGCCGATGGACTTTGCGAGACCGGATGCTTGAACGGCTTCCATGTCAGCCCATGCCTTCTGGAGGTCTTCGTCTGAGCCTGCAAACCACGGCTGGTGGATGAGGTACCTATGCTCGTCAGAATATAGATTGTTGATGCAGATTTTAGAGACATACAGGTCAACATAGTCCAGTTGCAACTTCTCCAGACTCGTCTTGATAGCTCCCGCAATATTTTTGATGTTGTCGTTGTTGACTTTAGTCGTGACATACAGCTTCTCACGTGGGATACCGCTCTCCTTGAT